CMAAMMASYTWWTTTTGCTGTTATTGACTTGTTTTGAGTTTCTGGTACCCYTAGATKCTGCCAGTCAGCCCTGTATAAGATTACTGCCAAGAAGCGTTGTTRCAGCAAAAACATAATCTACAAAACACAAATTCACTTAGGTTTTATGCTAAATATAAAATGATTTGTAAAAGTTTAGATGAATTCCTTTTCACCATGACTCTAATCCACTGCAGTAAGAACATTCTCTGCCATGATCAACAAAGCTAAACACACAGGAGAATACTGTTGAAAACCAATTACTTCTTCAGTAACTTTCTAAAAGGATATCAGTGTTTTCATGACCAAGAAGACCTAACAGAGAGTGGACGGCATTAAGTTCCACCAGCAGGTGGTAGAGATCCGGCATCGTGGCGATCACGTGCATTTCTTGAATAATGTCGTTCAGATCCAGCTCCGACTCCATGAATCTTGTTTGGAAAAAAACACAAATAAACGAAAGTTTAGACAGTGTTAGCATTCACAGGTTTTATTATATTCAAATTGGGTTCATACTGACAGATTCTTAGAGTAAGAATGTGCAAAGAAAATTATACCATGTCCCAAAATGTATAAAAACATTTTCTTCTTTCATAATCAAAATGTTACCAGAGCAAATGTCACTTTTAGTTAACTTGATCTAAACAGTGAAAAAAATAAAAAAATAAAATCTGGACCATCATTAATGACCTTACTTTTCTGGATTGTCTGGAAACTTAATCCTCAGTTCCTGGTTTTTGTATGACCTTTTCTCAAARGTCAGGATCATTTTCTTCACAGAGCTCTCATCAACCGGCTCAGCCTGTTTGATTGGTGCAGAAGGCAAGAAGTAGAGAAAAAAGAAAGAAAAAAGTGTTTTACTGAAGCAGCTGTTGAAATAGCGAAGAGCCATCAGGGTGACCTTAATTACAAATGGAGCGTATACATTTTTTTTATCAAATCAGAGGAAATCTAAGTGTATTTCTCAGAAAAGTGAATGCATTTGACCTCCTGAGGGCTTAAAAGCTGTAAATTGCTGCACAGATAATGACCGGTTAGGATATTTTAACTGCCTGACATTTTGAACAATGCAGCTCTTTGCTCTGAGAACCTCTTCACAGTGAGGATCTTTGTAAACGGTACAACAGTAGAATAATAAAAGCTTAATTATAGATGTGCAGTTTTTAAATGTGACACACCTAATAGCATAACTGGGGCTGAGACTCCCACAGAAACTCTTTGATGTTACCTTTACACCGTCAGTTGTGCCAGTACCTTACCTGTGTTTCAGCAAAGAAACTATTTACAAGCACACATTTTGCAAAACTAGCACAGCTGTAAAGATTTTCTCCCACCTCAGGTTCCTCCTCATCCTGGTCCATTAGTTTATCCAACATAATCTTTCTGTCTCCAGTCAGTTCTTCAGCCTCAGCACCTCCTTCAGCTTCCCGGTATCTGGCCAGCTCCCTAGCTGCCAGAGCTTTTATCTGCTTCCCTCCTCTGGAGTTCTCCTCTTCTCCCGCTGCTCCTCCATCCTCCTCTCTTAGACGCTTAGCTCCTCTATCAGGCTAAAGAGCAAAGAGAGAATGAAAACACAAACATGGAACTGAGGTTACAAACTTGTTTTAAACGCATGTTTGTGCAACACTGTTTGTAAAAAGTGACTTGGCAGATGATGCAGAATTTGTGTCCCTTTTTTCAAACAGCTTTTAATCTGAAGTTTTGTAAATGTGAACACCAGGATCATCAGGTCGGACATTTACAAAAAAAAAAWCAGAAATTGGAGTTGGTCAAAAAAATGATTATTATTACATATTTGTTTGCAAGTTTAAGAAACCCTTAGAAATTGTTTAGTAAATGGCCTGTGATGAAGCATGAGTAAATATGTGACCCATCACATCAAACCAAAAATTTAGTATCCAAGTGGTATGTGCAGAAATAGGCAGCTTTAGTGTTTTGATTAAAACATTTGCAATAATTGCCTTTTTCAAATGAATGAATACACTAGTGTAGAGGTAACCCTGGTGAAATATTCATTTCAATTTTTTGTCTTTGATTTTATTTTTTACACTTATAAGAAGAATATCATTTTAAAGTGTTTTTATTTTCTTTAAGTGAATATAAGTCCTATATATATGTTATCTCATTGAATCTTTTATTAGAGGTTATAATCAATATAATCAAAGTTTTATTGAATTAACCTTTGCATCTCTTTATTCCAGAAGTATAACACTTATAAGAAGAAAATCATTTTAAAGTGTTTTTATTTTTCTTTAAGTGAATAGGACAAAGTCCTATATATATGTTATCTCATTGAATCTTTTAAAAGAGGTTATAATCAATATAATCAAAGTTTTATTGAATTAACCTTTGCATCTCTTTATTCCAGAAGTATAACGCTGTGAAGAAAAAAGAGTTGAAATGTGCTTTAATGTTTTTTCTTAGTACTGGTATTAATAATGGTTTTATCATTTTTTTCTTAATTGATTNGGAGTAATTCCTACAGAGCAGTTAAAAAATAACAAGAATTTCATTTTTCACTGTGGGATCTTAAGAAGGTTCTAAGTAGAGCTTTGAAATGCAAAAAGAAGAAATGGGAATGAGACAAAAAATATATCTGAGTACCGTATTTTTCGGACTACAAGACATTTTCCTGAACTTTGAACCATGCGGCTTATACTCCGGTGCGGCTTATACATGGATTTTTTTCTTCAGCCACCAGGGGGC